CCATATAGGAGAATATTTATTACATAGCAGTTCAGCAATTTTTTCTTTGTTTCTATTGTTTCAAGTCTCCTGTTCACATGTGGGGAAATTGTTCTGCATATACTGCCATATAGGAGAATATTTATTACATAGCAGTTCAGCAATTTTTTCTTTGTTTCTATTGTTTCAAGTCTCCTGTTCACATGTGAGGAAATTGTTCTGCATATACTGCCATATAGGAGAATATTTATTACATAGCAGTTCTGTTCACATGTGAGGAAATTTTTTCTTTGTTTCTATTGTTTCAAGTCTCCTGTTCACATGTGGGGAAATTGTTCTGCATATACTGCCATATAGGAGAATATTTATTACATAGCAGTTCAGCAATTTTTTCTTTGTTTCTATTGTTTCAAGTCTCCTGTTCACATGTGGGGAAATTGTTCTGCATATACTGCCATATAGGAGAATATTTATTACATAGCAGTTCAGCAATTTTTTCTTTGTTTCTATTGTTTCAAGTCTCCTGTTCACATGTGAGGAAATTGTTCTGCATATACTGCCATATAGGAGAATATTTATTACATAGCAGTTCAGCAATTTTTTCTTTGTTTCTATTGTTTCAAGTCTCCTGTTCACATGTGGGGAAATTGTTCTGCATATACTGCCATATAGGAGAATATTTATTACATAGCAGTTCATTTTTCTTTGTTCATTGCAAGTCTCCTGTTCACTTTCTGCCATATAGGAGAATATTTTTACATAGCAGTTCAGCAATTTTTCTTTGTTTCTATTGTTTCAAGTCTCCTGTTCACATGTCAGTGCCATATAAAGGAGAATATTTGTTACATAGCAGTTCAGCAATTTTTTCTTTGTTTTTTTGTTTCAAGTCTCCTCTTAATTTTTGTTCTTTATCTGTGGGAGAAATTTATTATAGCAGTTCAGCAACTAATGTTTCAAGTCTCCTGTTCACATGTGGGGAAATTGTTCTGCATTACTGCCATATAGGAGAATATTTATTACATAGCATAGTATTGTCTTCATGGCCCTTCGGCAACCTTTTTTTTGTTTCTATTGTCTTAATTTTCATCTTTATCTGTGTGGAAACTGACCGGCATTCACTGCCATATAGGAGGAATTATATTACATAGTACTTCAGTAATCTTTTCTTTGTTTCTATTGTCTCAAGTTTCTTCTTCATGTGAGGAAACTGTCCTGCATATACTCACATATAGAAAAATATTTATTACATAGCATTTCAGCAAATATTTCTTTGTTTCTATTGTCTCAGTGCCATATAAGAGGATTGCTATTACATAGCAGTTTAGCCATTTTTTCTTTGTATTGTCTCAAATTTTCTTTTCATCAGTGAGGAAATTTGCTATAATAGTATATCAATTTTTTTTTTAAAACTCGTTTTAATAAAAAGTATAAAGATTCTATGCCTATTTTAATTTAACAATCCTCTTCTCCAAATTGCGAATGACCCTCTGTTAACCATGACTATTGCAGATGCAGGAAAAAATGTACCAAATTATGGCCTTGTCCACTCTTTCGACTCATACGAATTATCTTCAGGGATATTGAGAAAAATAATGCAAATTGAAAGAAAGAAAATCAGTTTTTAACTAGCTCCTTTTTCGAGTGTCATAAATCGAAACGCTGAAAATCATAAAAGCAATGTGCAACGATAACAATATATTCACACACATGCAATGGGATGTATTTTCGTATTGCCTAATTAGACTAAATGCTGCCTAATTGTACTAAATTTAAATTATCTATCTATCTATCTATCTATCTATCTATCTATCTATCTATCTATCTATCTATCTATCTATCTATCTATTTATCAGTTTGTTTGTTATCTATCTATCTATCAATTTGTTATCTATCTATCTATCTATCTATCAGTTTGTTTGTTATCTATCTATCTATCTATCTATCTATCTATCTATCTATCTATCTATCTATCTATCTATCTATCTATCTATCTATGTCCAATCAGGATGTAGTCGATCATGATTCTCTACATATTCCTTTTCCTTATTATATCTGATTTACAATCAGTCGTTGGGGCAATACAACGAAGAGGTTTACTGTTGACTTAGCTACGGTTTTAAAGAACTTAAAAAATCCTTCTCTTAGACTGGTTACTACACAGGCACGGAAGCACAGTTTATGCCGCTATTTAATTCATAACAGGAGGGAAAGAAATGGATTCATGCCTTTCCCATGAACATTAGTGTGAAAGTGAACGTAAGACACTCGACTGGAGCTTGAAATCGGATTGCTGCTTCCATTTTCCGCGTCGCTAACAATAACATTACCTACATCCTACATAATTTAAAATTACCTTTTTTTTTTCTAAAATAAAATTTACAAAAAGTAATGGAAGCCTTGTAAATAGTACATTAAGTAGAATAAAATTAACTGAAGTCTGTCTATTGGTCCTATTGTCGACCACTCGCTAGCATAAGTGACCTAGCACTATTGAAAAGAAACCTCAGGTATTTCACTCATTTGGTCTCTGGTTCCAACAGTGAGCTGTACTCACCTGTCAGATTTGTCATTAAACGTTCAGCAACCGTTGTCCAGCGCACCTCCTGACCTGAATCATGCCGATCACTTTTGAATGAGGGGCCCGAATAGTGTGTCGGGGAGGTTACTTTCAGAGTGGAACATCCAGTTATTAACGTGATTTGTCCGGTGTCTGGGCCACTTACTCTTTTAACGCCCATTCTCTTTTCCGCCTCCAGTGAACTAATGCGAGGGGCTTTAAGACAGTGAAGACATAAATGACTGCTTAGCTAAGAAGAAAAATGCGCGTAAGGGAATTTTGTTGAACAAGCGGGAAAGATAAAGATTGAGAGAGAAATAAGATGGGAATGATGCATTCACGGGATAGTGAAAAGGAAGAGTAATATAAAGTAGAGAGAAAGAAAGAGTGGGGGGAAGAGATACAGAGAGAGAGGAAAAGAAAGAAAAAGAGATGTTAAGAAAGAAAGAAAGAAACAATGATTAAGAAAGAAAGAAAAAAGAAACATATATTTAAGAAAGAAAGAAAGAAACACAGATTAGAAAAGAAAGAAAAACAAAGAACAAAAGAAACAGATATTTAAGAAAGAAAGAAAGAAAGAAAGAAAGAAAGAAAGAAAGAAAGAAAGAAAGAAAGAAAGAAACAGATATTTAAGAAAGACGGGAGGAAAGAAAGAAACAGAGATTAAATAAGAGAGAAAAAAGAAAAAACGGGAGAAACAGATATTTAAGAAAGAAAGAAAGAAAAAAAAGAAAGAAAGAAATAAAAGAAAGAAACACAAACAAGCAAACAAACGAAAAACAAACAAACAAAGATTAAGAAAGAAAGAACAAAAGAAAGAAACATACATTTAAGAAAGAAAGAAAGAAAGAAAGAAAGATATATTTAAGAAAGAAAGAAAGTAAAAAGAAAGAAACAGAGATTAAGAAAGAAAGAAACAGTGAAAGAACGAATATGACAATCTACATCAGTAATTTTCATCCAGTGTGTCGCAGTACATTGGTGTACCGCAGGAGGATCGTAGGTGCGCAGCGAAAGATTTGTAAAGCTCATTACTAAAATTATTTTCGAAAGAAGTCCAAAGTACAATAAGTGTATGTGTCAAAATTTAAACACTTTTAACTTGGTTATACGAGTATATCTTTGTTATAATAAATAAGCTTATACATAAAAATTAACAAATTACAAAAAAAAAAATAAATAAATAAAAGCAATAGAAATACTTCTACAGTTCTCAATGTCATATTTCTGTGAATTTAGATTTTCTGCAATAAAAAAATATTCAAAACAAAAATTTGATGACGGATAAAATCCTTGAAAGAAGATTTCAGAGGATGCCTTCCCAAAATTCGATCTTGCAAAGAAGACATTGGTATAAAATGACAATTGGAAAAAGGCTTAGTTTTTGCGTAAGTCTCTTTCAGGCTAATGTTAACTATATTGTCGACATGGAAAAAAGAAAAAAAAAAACTCTTAGTAAAAAAGGAACTTAACATTAGCCAGAAAGAGGCTTACGCAAAGCTTATCTCTTTTATTAAAATTTCATATTTAATGTAACTATGAAAACAAAAACATTTTGCTTCAATTTTGCCTTGATAAAGTCAAAAGACAAAACGCGTCGGCAGAAACTAAGATTTTTTACAGTTGTGATCCTTATACCAATTTATCTTATCCACAAAATTGTTCTGGGAATTTTACTATATCTTATAAAATTCTATTAAAATCAAGCTCACTTATCTCATTAAATGTTAAATTATAATATACAGAAAAAATAAATTTAAATTTTTAAAAATAATTTTAATTATTATTTTTTTATTACAAATTATAATAAATTATTTTACATGTATTAAGCGATAAATCATAAAACGTGTACTCTTTTATTTCATCATAATTTAAATGTGCCGCGGAAGTTTAACCATAGGTTCAAGTTTGCTGTGAAATAAAACAAGGTTGAAAAACATTGCTCTTAAAACCTGTTAAATAGATAGACGGAGATAGATTTAAATAAAGCACAAGTACTGTATTTGATGTCATAATAGATCTTTGGATTTTCTTCTAAAAATATTGATTGATTCATTCATTTTCTACTGCTTATCAACCATTTGTAGGTTATTTAAAGCCATAAAAATTTGTTTAGATTATAAGAATTTTTTTTCCAGTTGAAGTTTCTTCTGTGCAAAGAAAATAAAAATATAAGAATGCAGCGTATTCCCACAACATCTAAATGGCAACACTGAAAAGTTCGGATATAAGGACGTTAGGATATGAAGACTTCGGTTGTAAATTAAACTCCTTGATTTATTTGTTTTGTTTCATAATAATGATTTAGTACAAGTCTTACTAATCAAGCCATATCTGGAAGAGGTGTATTTATTCCTTTCCCAAGGGTATTTGTGCATAAGTCAATATAACGAACTTAACAGGAATTGGAACTTGTCTCTCTGATTAACAATTCCAAGCCATTATAACATCCGCACATCCAAGTTTACAGCCACTGGTCTTCCCAAGCGATCACCCATCGAGATACTGACCAGACTCGATGTCGCTTAACTTCGGTTATCATACAGGATCCGGTGTTTCAACCTGATGTGTCCGTAAGCCATTAATATTAAATTAAAAAACAAAATAAACAAAAAACCCCAAAAAACATAGAGGTGAAGTTGTACCAGTTGTAATAAATGTGGCCAGTAATAATCATTTAAAAAATATTTTTATAGATGAAGGACGAATATAAAATAATTATTAAATTTAATGAGGTTGATGGGTACAGTTTACTATTTAAGCCAAAACAAATCAGTGTGCTAACAGCAGATGTATATATAAGTCAAGGTCAATAAATTTGTTTTACAATATATTTTATATAGTAATATATAGTAGATATACTTTGGTATATATTAAAAATTGAACAGTTAAATATCTTTGCCTTGAGGTCATTTGCGGCCGCGTATCTTTGGAAATTGCTTGGCGTGCCAAGTGTAGCACGCGTGCCGTAGGTTTCCGACCCCTGGTTAAATCGATAGAGAATCGTAGATGAAAAAAGAACCCCAGATTACGAATTTTTAATTCTTTTTTACATTTTAAGAAACCGCGTAATTTGTGTATAGTTTGTTTTGGCTTCCATAGGGGTATCGATTTACAATGCATTTACATAGTAAATTTAACCCCTGTTAATTTTTAACGTTGAGACTGGTCAGTACTTAGTCGCTTGGGAATACCAGATCCTGTAAGCATAGATGTATGGGTGGTGGAATTGATAACGGCTCGGTAACTGGAAATCGGAGGGCCGAGTTTCAATTCCAGTTGTGTCCGTTATATTCACTTACGCGCAATTACCCTTGAGGAAAGTATCAATACACCTCTTTCTCGACTATGGGTTAATTAATAGGACATGTATCAATAAATTTTGATTATCTTCCAAAATTCTTACAAGTTAAATATATTTTCTGGCTTCAAATAACTCGTAAAAACGTTGAAAAACCGTAAAAAAAATAACCAATCAACACTATTAACTTTTATGGAATTTAATCATTCTTTAAATATTCAGTGAATGCTAGACAATCACAGATGAAGAACATAAATGTGGTTCTACAGGAGGATGATCAGGATGCCACGGACCGAACATGTGAGTAACGACGAAATTTTAGAGAAAATGGAAACAAAAAGGACTTATAATTAACACCAGAAAGAGACAGTTAAAAATTCTAGGGTATATAATGAGGAAATAGCGCTTGGAAAATTTGATACTCACAAGACATACTGAAGGCAAGAGGGACAGAGGAAAACAATGCATAACCTACCAAGCGAGCTTGAGTAAATGGATGACAGAACAGGTTTTAGGCGTGAAAATAAAAAGACAAAATTTATTAAGAAGTGCGAAGAACAGGAAATTGTGGAGAGCGATAAACGACAACGTCCTGAAGAGATACATCACACGGAAAAAGAGAAGAAAATCTGGACTCCTTAATCTATAGTGATATGAAAAAATATTTCTGCCCGCACTGCTCATTGTACAACTTCAGCAAAATGAAGATCGATATATATATTCTCCCGGGTCTTATATATGCATTTGAAGATTCTGGAAGGCTAATATTTACCCTGGTGCCATTACCATGAGGGACACAGGGAAACAGCAAATAAACTACCTAACGAGATTATATAAACGATTGACAGAGCAGGGATCAGGAGAGAAAGCAAAAGACACACTTTTCTAAGAGCTACAATGGACAGGAAAATGTGGAGAGACATGACCGCTTGATTTATTATTTAAATTCTAATTTTTATTTATTTATTTAATTTGAATTTCGAATTACCATTTTACGATAATGTAAAACTTTTTCTTACTGCATTCTTCTTCTTTTTCCCTCTTTTCCTTTTAAGATTTCCCCTTTAACCGTTATTATCAAATATTAAAACATATATTAAAACAAATTAGTTCAAATTATACATAGAATAATCGTAAGGTCTTGTTTATTGTGTAAATAATTGTCTGTCGCTATTGGTGTTAAAATTTCTTATTTATTTATACTTTCATTCTAGGTAAATTATCCCAGAGTAACGTTCCGAATGGTTATAGTGACAAACGGAAAACGTACATATCTACTTTACTTATATAAACCATGTGGAATGGATATGGGTGTGGATGTAAAGGCCATTATGGGATACGCAGGTGGCGGTAAATATTATATTCTTGATGTTAAGTTGAAATTCATCAAGGTAAAGAGCTGTATTTTTTGTTAACCCAAGTACTTTTGATCACCTTCGAGTTCATCCCCGGCGGTGAATTGAGAAAACAAACTTAATGTATCTGTAATCGTTGTGATAGACATTTCGCGAACAAGCTCTGCTATAATTATTTTAATCTTAACCGACGTGGTTACAAAGAAGTGATCGATTCATTACTATGTATTAATTTACTTTTACAATCCGAAAGTCCTTTTCAACCTGGTCAGTACCAAGATGGGTGACCGTTTGGAAATCCGAGATGCAGAAAACTTGGATGTGCGAGTGATGTAATAGATAATAGCAGGAAATTGTTAATCTGAGAGCCAAGTTCCAATCCCAATTGGGTCCGGTATATTTATTTACACGCAAATATCCTTGGAAAATACACCTCTTCTCTCCCACCTATGGGTTAATTAGTAAGATTTGTATCACTAAACCATTATTAGTCCCCCACTCTGCAAAAAAAAAAAAAAAAGAAAAGATTATTCCTGCTCGCACTGCCTATTGTACAATTTCACCAAAATGGGATCGATATATATTCCCCCGAGTAAATGGATAACAGAACAGGGTTTAGGCGTGAAAACTAAATTTATTAAGAGCTACAAGAACAGGAAATTGTGGAGAGCGATAAACGACAACGTCCTGAAGAGATAAATCACACGGAAAAAGAGAAGAAAATCTGGAGTCCTTAATCTATAGTAATATGAAAAAAAAAAGATTAATTCTGCTTGCACTGCCCATTGTATAACTTCACTAAAATGGAGATCGATATATATTCTCCCGGGTCTTATATGTGCAGTTGAAGATTCTGACAGGCTAATATTTACCCAGGTGACCAGTACTCGTGCTTAGACTTACTCTGCAATAGTCTAATGTTATGTGTAAATGGTGGGGTGGGGGTCATATAATCTCTGCCTGCTCGTTTCCAAGCATGTCTATCCACGAGGGAGGTGATGTAATCTCCGTTGAAGACGGTTGATCAGTCACATTTGCGTTTCATTATCACCCACATTTCTTTACATCGAGTGGTCCCATTGTGTGCTCTATCCGACTCGGTACTGTGTATTAATTTACTTTTATAATCCAAAAGTCCTTTTGAGCCTGGTCAGTACCTAGATGGTGTAATGGATAATGGTAAGGAATTGTTAATCGGAAACCGAGTTCCAATCCCAGTTTGGTTTGTTAGATTCAATTAAACATCCTTGAGAAATGTATGAATACATTTCTCCTCCTCCAGCTATGGGTTAATTAGTAAAACTCGTCTCACTAAAGTATTATTATCCCCCAACCTCCCACAAATTTTTAGAATCTAAAAATATTTTCTGGCTTTAAATAACCGGCAAAAAACTGATAGACCGTAGAAAACGAAGCAATCGATCAACCGAAAGTACTTTCTACTCAAAGAGGAAATGTGTTTTTTGATTAAGATTAGCGTTTCATTTAGGTATGAAGATGTACTGAAAATATTTTCGTTTTTTTACAGAAGATTGCTCTAAAGCTTATTTTATATGAAATTTTGAAGATTATGACTATACAATATAATAATAGAATGATATCTGAAAGAGCATTATATATGCAAAAAGATGTATATCTACGTTTTATAGATTATGCAAAAGCGTAATCCCAATGTACTGTTGGAACTCTTAGGTAAGCTTTATACATGCGGGAATGATATTAGAATAATGTAGAACTAGTACTAGAAGCAAACCGCCTGCATACGGACAGGAAATGAATTGAATGGCAAACTACTGGTCAGAATTCTGATGACCCGTACTGTGGAATTCTGACAGGAATTGATTGGATTTGTTTAAGTTTTGATATAAGACCAAAAAAGGAATAGAGTCTGTCTACCTTGAATTTCAGCATTCATAATTCAAGATACCAACAATAGAATCCGTGTATTCTTTTATGGCATATTACGATTTCTGTTTTCTTTTCTTTTCCATCCGTACTGTTCAATATGCACTCATCTCATGCTAAATATGTCATGTCACGGTGTCCAACATTATGCACTTAGCTGTCACCTCGCTCTTCATGACACTTCTCACGTTCTAACAGATATTCAGCAATTGATTGACTCTTGTCAAGGATGAAAAGGGATGTAATAGCTATTTATTGCTATTACTGCCGAGGAGAGTGGCTTGCCCAAGTGCTCGCTCATTCACTCTCTTCTCCACTAATTGTCGTGGCATACAAGTGACGATATATTTTGTCAAGATATTTGGCAGGCGGACACATTTATGCCTTTTTAAATCAACTGAAGCAAAATCAGCCGGAATTTAAATTTGGATTGCCAGTTCTACTTTAAATACTTGAAAATCAACGTAAGAGATTCTCGCTCTTTCAATGGAAAATCGATCTTTGGTGTCAGGAGAGAAAATATGCAACTGTCTAACACAGCAAGTAAATAAAGATGAGGTTTTCTTTGCTTCTTTCTTTCTTTTCGCCATTTTGTTTTTGCTTATATTTGTTATGATTTACTTTTTGCTCCTTTTTTAATTTCCTTTTTTTCATTTTTTATTTTACAAGAACCACTCGAGTTAGAGGGTTACAGAATAAGAGGCACAGTTTATGGGGATATGGGGGAGAGATAGGTATGGACATTAGACTTGAATAAGTTAAGACTGTAGTGATCGAGGAAGCATTCTCATGGGAGACGGTTCCATAATGCAGCTGTTCGTGAGAAGAAGCTGCTCAAGTGGAACTTCCATCTCACCAAATGAAATACGAAAGGAATGAGGGTGGTTCGATACAATGGGCGTGGCATGGCTGGTCTTAGCCGTAAAGGTTAGAACTGGTGGAACTAATGAATCTAGCTCGCTTGAAAACTTTCAACTGAAATAGCCATAGAGCAGTGACAGGCTTGCGACGATTC